ACCCTATATTAAGAAATACCTTAAAGAAGTTTAGTGATTACAGTCATACAACCATTGCTACCATACTACCAATTTTTTGGGCCTTATCCTGGGAACTTTGTTTACATGATTGGGGATGTATGATAAACACATGTAATAGATGATATCATAATTATTTAATTTTTTATTTATTAGAAAGGCAATATATATTTTATATTGTAACCCTATATTAAGAAATACCTTAAAGAAGTTTAGTGATTACAGTCATACAACCATTGCTACCATACTACCAATTTTTTGGGCCTTATCCTGGGAACTTTGTTTACATGATTGGGGATGTATGATAAACACATGTAATAGATGATATCATAATTATTTAATTTTTTATTTATTAGAAAGGCAATATATATTTTATATTGTATTGCAGAAAGTCAGTCTCTTTAAGATTAGCGCTGTGGTGCCTTGATAGTGCACATTAATTCTCTTTGCCTACAAACGTTAGAGTATAATATCTAAAAATGCTGAGAAAAGTCTTTAAGTAGCCAGAATGGCAATTAGTCTTTCATTCTTTTTATTTGTTCTTTCATTTAGTAATGAGGAAATTAGCAATGCCAATAAAGCCTCATCTTACAGCTCAATTTTCAAATATAAATGTGAAACATATATATAGTATGTTTTCTGTCTTTATCAATATATTTATTTCATTCCCCATTTGATTTAAGATTTTCTTATTTGCTTGTTTTTAACCATGAATTTGAATTATTTGAGTTCACTGAATTTAACCTATAATTTCCACACACACACCCGCTAAGACACTGTGGGTAGCTATAGAAAGTGTCACCAATAGTTTTCACAGCCATGAACATTCAAGGTCAGTTATATTATCTCTCAAAAGGAAGAACCTCCATCAACACAGTAACCTCTAGCACCCTGCTCATTGGTCCAGTGGTGAGGACAGTGTTGTCTACAGAGTCCTTGATCCCTCTCCCCTTTAGTCCAAGAGCTAGAGGGAAAAAACAAAGCGTATTTTCTGCCTTTCTTGATATACAGTGTGTAGGGTATTATCCTACCTTGATTATTCTTGTTCACACTCAGGAGGAAACCTTGGCTTCATCTCTGACAGCTAACAGAAATCTACAAAATCCACAAAATTGGTAACCTTAATGACAGGTTTTCTAGGCTATCTTACTGGATACTGTTTCTTTTGCAAAACTGCAGTCCCATTTGGAATTTAAAACTATGATCAGCATGTAGTAATTAGCCACCATGAGTCTGTTATTTGTTAGCTTAATGTGGTGTAAAACTGACCACTTAATTGTTTTCAGTGCTGAAACAATCAACAGTAAACATTATTGTCTGCTATCTTGATTAGTTTAAGGGGAGAACATTACTGGTAACTTATCAGTTACTAAAAATAGCCTGACTTCAAGAAAAGAAATACTATTAGAAAGGAATCTTACACTACTATTGGCTTTTATATTTTCATCTAAGTAGTCTTTGGCTTTGTCCATCCATGTAAATCCAGCCGCTGTTAGCTTAGAAGTGCTACTCTACCCTATTTTGGTGGCTTTACCCTTACACAAATATGAGTTTATTCTGATGCTGTGTATCAAAACTAGGCTTTTGCCAGAGTGCATCACCACTAGGATATATATGCTTTTGTTGACTCTAAAATCTGAATGTTGATATGGTCTCGTCCACAGACTGTCCCACAGCCAACATGCCTTCCTCTGCTCTTACTGTTGTGAGCACTGTAAGGCATCCTAAAAAAACTTCCGTAACGTGGGTGATCACAGAAGGTCTTGGAACAACCAACTATAAACACAAGTCCATCTTTTGGGATGGAATTAGGCAAAATATTGGGTTTGTTGCAGGTTCACATATACTGCCTTATTTAATTCAGTGGCCTTTTCCCATGGTGGGCTCCATCTACGTTTTTTGTAGCAGTAAAATTGGCTTCAGAAGTCAATATTAAAAAAAATAAATAAATTAAAAAAATCAGTAACCAGCTTTGCAGGATGGTCACCCAAACCACTGTATGGGAATGCTTGAGGGGGCAGGGAATGAGTGGCTGAGGCTAGATACCTGGGACCAAACTTTGCAGTACTGCATCTTCTTAAAACGTGAATAACATTTAAAATATATATGCTGTTTGGTGGGCTGCCAAGTGGAGAAACCAACTGATTGTTTTTACTAAGCATGGAAAAGGCAAAGAAAATCTTATAGCTACACAAGAGACTGACATGCTGTGAAAGTGTGTAGTTTTTATATGGGTTTTTTCAGTGCCAAAACATAAAAATTCAAGTTTCTCCAGGTTTCTTTTTCAAAGGCTTTTGCTTACGTATGTGATACAGTATTATCAATATAATTTTTCACTCTTAATGTCCCCTTCTAGTCATTACCTTGACATGTCGGTCAACTTCTCATCATAGTCATTGCTTTGTAGGTAGCAGAATTCCTTTTGGAATCATCTTTGGTGGGACAGATGTAAATGAAGATATCAAATGTGAAGAGAAACATCGGATAATGGGAGCAGTACTAGGAGAAGCCAGGTAAAAACATGTGTGGAAGGTTTATGACAGGAAATTGCATTTTTGTAATGGCAGATCTTTCAGGAACTGTTTCATAAATGCTTGGAATCACTGGGAGATGTGTAGGCCAGCGGACAAAGGATAGACTACCTGAAATCCCCATGATCTCTACATATTATTTTATTATTCAGTGGTGGAAGTAGAACAGTTTCTTCATAAAATACAGTCCGTATGCAGTCTGTTCATTTTATATTTCCTCTGTTACAATCATTTCATGGTATTTGTCTATGTAAGAGTTGGCAAGCTAGTGCTGAACTTGGGCTCTTGGGCTGTGAATTTTCAAAAAGACTCAAATCCCATTAAAAGCTAATGAAATCTATGCTCTTGCTAACTAATGCTGTGCTTTGTCTACTGAATCGTAACTGTTTTCTAGAATAATAGAGCTATGCATGTGATGAGGATATAAAATTCTAAGGCAGGTAAAAGAAATGAGAAGAATAATAGCAAGAATAACCTGGGATTTGGCAACATATTTCTCTGTAATCTACTTTATGAGTAGACATTATAAAGATAGCCTTTGATGGTTAGTATAACTGTGGACTGTAGCAACTTGACTGTGGTTTATTTGATGTGTTTGTAATGGATACAATTTTATGCAATCAAGTTTTAATTTCTTACCAAAATTATTTTAGACTGTTTATATTTGCAGAGATTTAGGTAAACAAATGCACATCTAAGTATCTCCAACAATATCTATACAGTTCTCATTTAAACAGAGCTATCCTGGCCATGAAATGACCGATATTTGGTATTTAAATAGTGAATCTTTAGTAGTGGATGTGGTTAATGGTGAATTAGTGGTAAAGGTATGATTATTTAAATAGCAAATCTTTATTAGCAGTGGAGGTGTGAATATTCTCATTAAATCTTATTGTAGTACTATTATTAGCCTAAACAAGATTGAATCTCATTTGCCAAGGTCCTGTGCCAGAAGTGCTAAGTGTTGCTCCAAGTTGTTTAGTGTTAAATGTTGCTCCAAGTTGTTTGTTTTTTTTAAAACCTCTATTTATTAGTAAATTCTGGTTTATGTTACATATATTCAAACATATAAAATATTCTGTATTGAAACTAACACATATTATGTGTTAAGTGCTACCTGTATGTACAGACCAAGGTGCCCAACAGTTTGACTTAATTGAAATGACAACTATAAATAACTGGCATTTGTCCTGTTGCATCACAGTCAAACCTGTCGCGGAGGCCTGGCATTTAGTTTGTTGACAGAGTGCTTGATTGAAAAGCAGTTGATTGAAGTATAAAGAGCTTTTGTTCTTTTTTTCCCTGCTAATGTGATCCTTTCTCTAGATATGTGAACAAAGAAGCAGAGACTGGAAAAAGTCTTTAAGCAAATTCTCTCAATTTTTAGGTGAATTGACAAGGGAGTATTTTCAGGATATTTTAAAGTCCAGAAAAGTTCCAGTGACATGTCATCAAATGTAGTTCAAGAACTGATCAGAAATCAGAGAAAATTACTAAAAAACAGAAAGGTTTTTACAGCATTTCTCATCGTTTTAACATCCCCAGAAAAGAAGTTTCCTTCTGCTTTATCCAAAGGTGTATTGACTTCAACAGTCCATGGTGGGCCATTAAGCCCTTTTCCTATTGGAAACTAAAACATTTTGTGGATGTAAATCTTCCAATGGATGAAATTAATTAGTTAGCTAGCTTAAATCTTATCAAGATAGAGGCTAAGGCTGTCCCTTCATGTGCAGCCAGTGTAATAGCCCGGTGATGGCAGAGGGGGCTCTACTGCTACCTCTCTTCCTCTCCTCCTTTCTCTTGCTTGTGGCTGTGTGACCCACCCTTCCTTTTGCCAGAATTGAACTGCTTTCTGAGCAGGTTTAACTCACTTAATGGCATAAAGTTGGTTTTTTTCCCCCTGGGTTAGTTTTCTATCACTTTAATACCAAGTCAGCTTGTGGAAGACTGCAAGAAGGATGGCAGTAAGCTGCTACAGCAAGTCACTCAGCCTCATGGAACTGTACTGTGACTGGTGACTTGAGTACTTGAAGAGTCATCACTCCAGACTTGAGCTCTGCATATGCGAAAAGGGTCCCTGAGTGTACTAGGTGTGATAAAATTTAAGCATCTGGAACGTCTTATCAAATCCAGTGGTACTGCTGGCATACTTTAGCAGAGCTTAAGTATCTTGCTGAACAGAGCTTGCTTGGGATATTATCTCTGTTCATCACATCATTCTAGCTAAGGCAGGTAACTACAGTGGTTCAGATACGGCAATATGGATTTTGGCTCAGGTTAGCAGTGAGGAAATACATGCAGAATCTGCAGCAGGCTTCTATCTTGCAGTTTTATCTTTGCTAATACCATTGTATCTTCTAGCTATTATTAGCTAACTTAATGCTGGCATAGATATGTTGTTCTGTCTATAGTGCCCTATAAAATGTGGTAGATAAACAGATTTTAAAGACAGCACTTAATCACACTCATTGAAAAATCATTAGGGCATGTCTTAGTGTGACTTGTAGTTGAAAAGCAACTTAAGACCCCATTCAAGACAAAATTTATATACTTATTTACTTTTGTTATCAAATAATCAGAAGTTATCATTTAAACAGGTCTGAAGGAAAAGAAAAAATGTATCTATCGGACAGTTAAATTTAAGCACTGCACAAAATGAAAATTATATAAAAACTGAATCTCTGAGTGTGTCCATTTGATCCAGTTCTGTATTTAAAATATGATTTGCCACAAATATAGCTAATATAGCTTATGCAAAAGCTATGCTTTACTGGAATTTTTTTAATGATAATTAAGTTAGGAACTTGAAGTATAGTTTAGTAACTGGGATTTCCTATGATGTTTCAAAATATATTACTGCATCTTTACACTGTTCATAATATTTTCTCTGCTAGAGGAAAAGTAATTTGGTTTTCTAGAAGTTATTCTGAATGGTTCTTTTCTCCAATATTATCACTAGTATTATTCATTGCATAGTTATTAAAACAACCATTGATTTTTTTTTTAATTTATTGATTGCAGGATTCTAAGTAGAAAATACCATGAATTGTAGATTGCTTGTCCAGTACAATATACCACCACATTCCATAAAACAAAGTATTGAACACTGTCTGGCTTTATAATGAGTGTTTCATTTTTAATCAAATTCCTCTAAATGGTGGTTGTACTCCTCTAGGGTGTTTTTTTTTTCTATTGAACAGTATTTTGTAGACTTAGGAGCAACAGTTTTTTCTGCTTGTTAATGTGATATATTGAAAGTATAATTGCAAAAACTGGAAGGGGAGCATGTGCAACTTGACAAAACAAGCATTTGCAAAGGCTTTAATAACCTTAAAGCTGTCAAGTTGTATATGTGAAATTCATTGTGGTACCATAAAGCAGATACTACAAAACAAATGTATGGGCATAAGGTTTGTTTCAACAAACAAAAGTAGGAGTTATAATTCAGCATTTGTGTGACTTCTAATGAACGATTATGATTTCACGTCCTCAAATTATAACATAACGTCTCCAATGTAAAAGCGCTATTCTGGTTGTGACTTAGCAATGTGCTTCACCTCTAGCCATTGGGATGTCATAGGGTTGGCTCAGGACAGAAACATTATATTAATTCTGTAGAAAAGAAGTGTAAGTGTAATATGTGATAACCTCTGTTTTATATTCAGTATCTGTAAAAACAATTTAAAAAAAAAGAAATTTTCCTGAGCAGACACATTATGTCTCATATGAAGAAGGCATTCAAACATTTCTATTCCACGGGACTGATAGTCTTCAGAAATGGTCCCATTTGTGCTTCTAGTTAACGCTAAAGTTCCATTTAAGAACATTCAAAGCATGTGTTTATATTTCATCACAACTTAAAAGCTACATTAAAGCCCAGCATGTTCTTAAGATCTCTTCTGAACAAGGACTCTTTATTAAATCTGACTCCATAAAAATATCTCATATGACTTCTTAGTATTACACCAACCTCCCAGTAAGAATAACTTACCTAATAAGTTTAGAAATCGGACTTCTGTGGCTGAAGTCTCTGTGTAATGAGACACCCAGAAATGAAAACTGTTCATATCAATGCTGCTTTTAAATGGTCCCTGACATAACTCTTCTGTTATGTGGAATGATAGTGTACTACATACATTTCCCAAAGGCACATAAGTACAAGTCCAGATGAGCTGTTATAAACAGCCATAAGGGAATAAACTTGGGAATAGAGTTCTCTTCTCCCTCCCAGATGAAAACCCTAGCCATTAAGTTATTCGAGTACACTTCTGTTTGCTTGTTCTTACTTTGGCATTATGATTTATATACATTACAGAGGAGGATGAGATGGTGTTCGTACACTATTCTACAGTTCATTCATTTAAATGCCCTTCTCATAACAAAGAAAAGTCTAAACCAGAGTCAAAATGCCCGTCTATCAGTATTATGTCTGGCTAGTGTAACAGTCTCTTTGCCTGAAACGATGACTGTCTTAAATCTCAGTCATTTCTGGGCACCCAGTTCTTCCTTGTTTGTTATAAAGGAATATCAGGTGTCTAACTCAGCACTGCAAATTTCATCTCCACTGCAGATGCCTAACATTCAGAGCTACAGAGCTGAGTGTCCCAAGTCTGTCAGCTTCCAGAGTTGAAGCCCAGTCACTGGATCATCTTTCTTCTTTTGTAGTTTATTTAATTCTGATATTTTTCTCTCAGATGTTTTTTTTCTCATTGAAAATTTTGACTACGTAGAAATAAGGAGAGAACATTGGGAGGGGGAGTTAAAAAAAATCCATCTGCTCATTTGAATTAAACTCAGTTGCTATGAGTTGCAAATAGTGGAACTGCATATTGTCAAATAACAGTATGAAACTAACTGGACTTAAAATCCCTTCTTACCTAGCCTTCTGGTTGTGAAAAGGGCAATTGCAACTTGCAGTGATGTACAAAGAAGAAATGCTAATTCGCTATTGCAGCTGTGTATGTTAATCTAGATAAACCGGGGGATGTTCCCATTATTTGGGCTTTCTTTTACTTTAAGAAATCCTCACTTTAACTCCGAAAAAGCTCTAAGTTGTAAAGCCTGAAGTGATACCATTTGCTTCACCAATATTTTTGGGTAAAACAAATTGAAAGCCTGCTTTCTGTCTTTCCATCTATAATAATTTTTATAAGCCTCTGCTCTTTTTTCTTATAAAGAATTTTTTCTGAAGTACTTTTCTGGTTTTATGTTCAAACACTTTAAGCAGATGATCCCAACTATTTTTGTCCATTTAACTAGGTTTGCAGTGGCTTTCACGATGAAAATGAAGGAACTAGCAGCAGCGGAGTGGGTATGTTTACATGATGATTGTGATGCTTATAGTATTATCAACTCTGCATTCTCCTAAAATCTTTTCTAAATAATGCTAGAGAATTGTAATAATCTCCATGTTCTCTATTCCTGTTTTTCCTTTCAGAGAAAACATTTCGTATTTATGCACTTCGACAGGTCAAATCGATCTGGCATTTAAAAGCTGTTTAGTATGTGAAAAGAGTATGCAGCAGTTTAGGAAGTAACATTTAAAACTAATCATTGCTGTTGTTATCGAGTCTCTCCTGATGCCATATGCATATATTGGGGGTTTTTGGTATCATTTAATAATCTTTATGTTGCCAAAATTTCACTAAACAGTTTTACTTACAATAAAGAATTTGGAAGAATAATTTGGAAATACTTGTTTTGTCAACACTGGAAATAGAATGAACGGCTTAAGGTGAACTGCAGAGCTAAAATTGAAGTTGTGCTAAGCCCAGCAATATGTGATATACAGCCCTGTTGACCAGGCCTTGAGGGATATGTAGCATATAAATAGCACTTAACTTTCTTAAAACTCATCTCTCCTCCTGAAAATAAACTGAAACACACTGTGCTGACTGATATATGGAAAAATACTGAATAAAATTATTTTTATCCAACAGCATAGTGGTTAAATACATTTGACAATGCATTTTAAGGAGATTATTTAGCCAGCAAAGAACTGGCAGTAATAATGGTTGGTTCTCTTTCTCTTCATTTAGTAGGTACCATTGCAGTCACGGTTTTGCAAATCTCCTTCAGACATTCAGTGCCATTATTTTTGGTATCTGATGCTCCTGTTTGAAAATAGACTGGGTCAACGTTTTCACCCTTATGTTGTTGAGTTGATGGCAGACTGCCAGTGGAGAAAATTGAGACAAACCCTTGAAGTAGACAGTCGTCAATCCTGGTTTCTGAAGAGTGGAGCAAGACAATAAAGAGCTGCCAGTCATTTGAGTACAAGGAGTGCTTTTGGGTAGTGTCATGCTGCACTGGTAACCTGTGAAAAACTCCACACCAGGCAGCTGGACTTGGTGATCCAGCTTGATGGCCTAGCTGATTTTCCATGCAAGGTTAGCTTTCCAACTAACTTGTCGGCTAAAGATTTGTACTGGATTACGGAGAGCTGCACTGAGCACCAGATCCAGTGAAGGGTAAGCAGTAACTATTTGGTGGACAGTAAGGGGCAACATACTGGGATAAAAAGACCAAGGCAGGACCACCCTCTTCCAGCTGCAGTGAGCTATTAGCTCCACTCACCTCCTCTTGTGAAACATCAGCTGAAGTTGAACAATAAATGGAAGAGCTAGAAACGAACTGCTTGGTGTCTTTTCAGTTCTAATTTGCATCATAATACACCCTTACCTAAAAAACCCATTTAGAGGTGGAGCTTGCACCATAGAACAATTTAATATTCAATACTTTGTTTCAGCATGAATTGATTTTTATTTATTTATTTGTGTTAAAAGGATACGTGAGCAGATATAGGAGTTATAATTTGGTTTTAATAGTTACTAAAATGAACTTCATGATGGGTAAACATGAAAAGGGCACAGGTTCTGTCATAGATCTTACGCAAGAAAAAGACAAAAGTAACAAAGTATGAGGAGGAGAAACAAACTTGAACTTTGAAGTCCTTCTGACATCAGCACCTCAACTGTTTTTGAATACTTAACTTTGATTTTTACCTAAACACTTTTGTGCTCCAGGTCTATGAGACTCACTCAGTGTTTTAGAAAAGGTCTGTGGCAGACAGAGAATTGGAGGCAAGTCTGTCAAGTCCTAATCTGAAACACTGCCTGCTGACCTGTGTCTTAAATACTGCGGTTTGAGTTCTCTTTCCAGCTATATCTTCATATAAAGGTTGAGAGCAAATGCCACACACTTACTTTCAAACAGTGAAGAGTTTTTTCTTTCCATACCTAGGTCACAGGATATTAACCCTTTTTACATATTAACTCACACTAATGTGAACTGCATTATCCCTCTAATGTGTGCTTTATTAGTTAAACAGTCAATTAAGAATTTAAATTATGAACAGGTAAGCAGTTGGACTGTGCTCAAGGGCTGTATCTTCCAGCAAATTCTTTTCTATTACATTGGATAAATTATCTTTAATTATAAAGTACATAATACAGCATTTGTAATAATCTGTATTCCAAGTGAGTTTGAAATGTTGTAAAAGTTCTTGTGCTTCCTGTCAGTGTTTTATTTCAGTAGTGTAAAATTGGTGCATAAGAATTACCTAAGCCAGTTTTATTAGCGTTCAATTTCATTTTTCCATTCTGCTCAAGACCATATAAAATAAAGAACATAACAGAAAATTGATCTATAAAGTAAGAATACATCTGTACACAGTATTCCTGCTATTTTCTTCTTGATGATCCAAGCCCTGGCAGGATTATATTTACTCACCGTAAGCCATTAAAGGTGCAGCAGAGCATGAAAGCAGATGCTTAACTTAAACTTATTTTTGAAACTTAGTGGGTTTAGGCAACTAAAAGCCTGTCTTCACCCACCAGATTTTTGAGGCAGAACTGTGCGGTATGTCAAATATGGAGGCAAGGGTTAAGCTGTCCTCTGCCCCATCTGCTTTTTGCACTTTCTGGTTTCCTGCATCTATTTCCTAGCTCTGAATTTCAGCTGTCCCACTTGTCCTGCAAATTTAAATTCTGAAGTTGGCCTCCAGCTTGCAATGCCATCCTCATTGTTTACAAGGCTTTTTTTAGGACTGCAAGATCCAATTTAATTTAAAATGCTACTTCATAGGTAAGAAAAGGACCAAGAAATGTTAAGTAATAAAATAACCTATTAAACCATTTTTTCTTATTTTTAAATGCTTTGAACACAGAAGTTCATATAGCTTTTGAAAGATAAAGTCCATAGAATATCCTTCGTCTTCCATTGTAAAGCGTGTTATTTTTTCCCCCACTTCATTTATGTGTGGATTTGCTGCTTGTTCATGTAGTTTTTGGGACTTAGTTATTTCACTCTGATACTCAGAAACCACCTCCTTCCCATCTGTGAACCGCTTGTTGATGACTATTCACTTTTTTTAATGACCTCTTTTCTGTCCATTTCTTTTTCCAGTTCATTTTTAATAACTAAAATAGACTGTTATGACTGGGCAGTGGACTGGAAGGGCAGTCACATAGGAGTGATAGGGCAAAATCAAAATGTTTACATGTAAAAAAAAAAAATCGTTTCTTTGGCTTGTTTCCTGAGCTGACTGGTTCAAGAATTGGTTGCTTAACAGTTTGTTTCTGCATTAATTCTTTTTCTCCTAATACAAGTTCTCTTCCTGCCTTCAAGTCATTATCCTGCAGGTGTGATTGCACAATCTGCTAAGGATGGGGTGGGGTGGGAGAGGAGAAGGGAAGACTAGTGGGCAGCTTGACACGATGCACTGGTATATGTGATACTCTGTCTTGGTTAACTCTGGCTATGTTATTCCAACAACTTTCCACATTAAGAGAACGAGTCTGCATAGCAATATTTAGCTTGAAGAGTTCAGCAGTGTATCAGCAGTGTAACCTACCATTCGAAAGTGAAATGGTTGGAGAGGCAACCTGGCAGTCCTTTTCCCATCTGCTCTCTAGAAAGAGCCATGGCAGGGAAATAGTGACTCAGAGTCGCAGCCTGCTAGGACGGTGCCTCTCTAAGAAATGAAATTGGCACTGAAGAGGAGGCAAGATTTAGTCTCAAGAATGCAAAGATTGGTACTGTAAAGAAAGTTGTTCATTTCTGGACGCTACAATGTTAAATTAAGCAATAGCATTAGGTGAACTGCGTGAAAGAATATAATTTCAAACTGAAACATTCAAGGTAATTTTGAGCAAATCTATTGGCGACTACACCAGTTGAGGAACACCTTCCTTAGCTCAGTCCTCTACTGGCGTTGCAACCAGTGCTTTTAAAACGACTAGGAATTGTCTGAACACAAAGCTTTGCACAAATACTTTGAGCTCAAAAAACTGCTTGTTTGCTGGGGAGTGTTGTTGGTTTTTTGGTTTTGATTTTTTTTTCAATGTGGAAAGATCCCACGAATATTTTGATGTTTTTGTGAAAAAAAAAAAAAAGTATTACACAAATTCATGGTGGAGTTATAGAAAGATATTGAAATAAGAATTGCCTTATTTGATCACCTAAATTAAATAACTAGCATAGTAGTACTTCAGGAGTAACTTTGGAAATGTGGTAATGACCTCTTTTACTGTAGCTATTTTAAAATAATTTCTTATGCAATTTTTATTTGGGAATATTCTGCAATAACTCCTACTGGCCAGTTTTCCTGTATAGACAAGTCTATGTATATTTGACAGCAATTTTTTAAGAGGTTAGAGGTAGATGGGGTTTGTTTCATGCCTGATGTGTTTAAAAATTCTATTATGGATAAATGTAGACTGTTGTTTCAAAACCAGCTATAATTTTTCTTTCAAGACTAGCATTTTTTGGGAACTAGGGTGGTTCTGTAGTTGAAAATCTTTTCATTCTAGGGAAATATTTTAATTTTCTATGCAATAAGCAGGTTAATGATTGTGAGAAAGGATACAGAGATAAAACTTAGTAATTGTGTTAATTGCAAAATTGATTCATTGATACTGTAAATGTTCATTGTAAATGTAATTTAAATTGCTGACTGTTGGCTTTGGCTGTTATGTAAAAGTATCTTTTTAATAGTCTGTTTTTATTTTTGATAGTCAAAATCACGCTGATGTGCGTTTCGTTATACTAGTTGGGCTTTTTTGAAGATAGAACAGATCTTTTATGGTGAACAATGAAAGTCACTTTTCTTCTCCTTCTCTTTAAAGCCAGATGCTAGGAAGAAAATATATGTCCAAACTCAAGGTGAGAGTTTTGAAATATTGACTAAGGTATTTAATTTATTTGAATCATGTGTTTAGTAACTGTTTATATATCTACTTTCTTAGCCCCAGAAATATTTTGCTGAGATGGGTATGGGGTTTGAAGTCCTGGCTCAAAAGGTTGAGCTTTTTGCCATTGGTGTTAACTGATGCAGTATTTCAGTCTCTTAGCCTATATTTTCAGCTCATTTGATGCTTTTAAAAAAAAGTTTTCCCCGATGCCTTGCAGTTGGAATCTGAAAGCCAAGGTAACACCTAAGGTAGTACCGAGCTTTCCCCAAAGCATACAGAAGTTTTGATGCTGAACAATTATTCTCTGAAACTCTAAATTTCTTTAAATGGTCTGAGTTGAGTTCCCAGAATAATGACACCCAACTAATATCAAATCCAAAGTATATTACATAAGTGAGTAGTCTAGGGAACACTCAACTCAGCATTTTAGATGCAATTACTTAAGCTATAGCTACTGATTTTATTCATCTAAATTGTCTACAGATTCCAAAACTCATTCTATTTTGTATATTTCACTGTCAAAGAAAAGAAAGTTATTTTTAAAACTGTTATTTTGAAATAATTTGTTGTGAGGTTTATTTAGCCCATATTTAGTATATATTTAAGTCCCCTGTGAGGTAATAGTTAACTAAGAGATTAAATAAATTAATAAAATCATTTCATTAGTAAAATCATCTTTAACATAAGGCAAAGGAAGTAAATTAATATTTAGTTTAGATTAATATTTAATTTTTATATAAATTTAATTTACCTCCTTTGCCTCATGTTAAGGACTTGGGTTAGGGTTAGCTGACCTATATCTGTTTTGGAATAATAAGGTCTCTCAGATAATATTATCTGGTATGTAGATTTTAAAAGGCCATATTTAGCATGATGTAATTAAGCTTAATTCCCTGGGTTGCTAAAGAAGTTCCTACACTGTGTGATTGTGCAAAATTTTCAATTGAATTTCAATCTGATCACTATGGAAGTATTGTGCATACAACCCAACATAGTTGGGAAGATAAAAGCTTGAGATGGGAAGAGCTGTGTAATAGAATTTGGTGTGCTTGACAGAAATACTGTTTTCTTAGGGCAAGACTTGAAGAACCATAGTTTAGCCATCCAGGGCCCAATCAAATGTGTTGTGTGTCTCTTTTTTTCAACACAGGAATTAAGACTACACCCAGTGAAACATTTGACTGGTATAGATTTCTACAAAATGCAGGTAAAACTCACTTTTTTCCTGTACTCACTATATTTATTCTTGGTAGATGTGAGCGATGAAAAAATTTAGAATGTGAAGGTTAACTGATTATATAATAAAATGACTTAATGATATGAAAAATGAAAATGTCTTAATATTAGATTCAGGCAGAATATTGATGAGATTAGTCTGGTTAGTAAACTACCCAGCCTGCCTCCAGATTTCTGGTCTGCCCAGGGCTGAATTGCACCAAAAGATAATACGGTCATGACATACGGGTCAATGTCCCTTAGGAGGTAAGCTAGATGGAAGCAGCAATACCTGAGCATGCTGTGCTTTACAGCGGTGTGATAGAAACTGTGGATGTCTTTTGCAGAAGAGCAGGTGAGGTGAAGAAGTGTTGAAGAAGGGAAATAAGTGTTGATGGTTTATTATTTGGTCTTGATCTAGAGCCTGTCTCTGTTTTCACCAATGTAATGTCATGTAAGGCAGATGACCTAATTTAGAGTCACCTGATGTTGGCAATGCTTTAATTGCTACAGCTGCCTTTCCCCCAAAGAAGAATTTGTAGGCGTTTTACTGTGGTAAAAATATTTCAATCTGATCTCTGATAGTACAGCTGCTCCCTCGGGTACAAATGAATCCTCACCAGTCAATTGCTTTATCACATCAGTAAGTGCGTGCCATTATTCAAAACTGGTGTCCAATTTTAAATTGAGCATTGTGAGGTTATTTTGTTCTCAGTAAATCATGGCATACAAGCACAGCACCACTAAGATTAATAATTTTCTGAAGTGAAATGATTTGTCACTTGCTAGCACAGCCTTAGTGTTGATTGGATCTCATGTCCAACCATTTTATGATTAAAAGAGCAATCAACAGATTGAGAAGGGGGAAGCTGCCCCGAAAGTGCATTTCATCTAATATATTAGGGACAGTTCTTTGCCTAATGTGTACTAATGCAAAAGTGCAAAATAATTCATAATGTACATGAAAAGCAAACTAAAATGTGACTCTAACATCTGTGGCTCTTAAATAATAACTTGAAAACTGGCATAAGATTATTCAGCATTGTTTTTAATGACTGTTTCATCTTATTTATCTTATCAGTCTTGTCTCTATTTCTATCTCTTGTGGCACCCTACAATTTCCACTTCTTTTAATATTGCACATGGAGGCAGGTTTTTTGCTGTACCTTCACACTTACCACAGACTAATTAGGAGTTCCCACTGAAATGCTTTTCCAGGGATTTGCAGTTTCAAAGGGTATAAAATTCTACTAAACTTGGAGCAATCAGTAGAAAACTATCAAAAATAGAAGGCAGTTTTGCTCAGAACAATACAATTTTGATAGTGTAGGCTTGCACAATGAAGTGCACTTGAAAAGATCCCTAGCTTTTATGCAGATAAAGCTGTCCAATCTCGTTCACCTCATGGCATTTGTGATCCTTTTTTTTAAAAAAATATACTTTTTTTCATGAAGTTCTATTCCGTATCTAACAGCGTGTAATGATTTTTGTGGGAATTACTTCTCCAGATAACTCTTGCTCATATCTTTAGCAGTATCCTGGAACATTTGTCAAATTCAGGATTCCCACGGCTGAATGTAAAGAAATAGCACATGCCCTACAATGCAAATTATAATACATTTGAGGCATCAGTGTTAAACATGCTTGGTGATCAGGCCATACATTGTCAAGTTATTCTTTAATATGAAATAGGTTCTTCAGAATATTTCAAGACTCTTTAATAGAACAGACTTCTTATGAATATTCTTTGTACTGATTTTTTTCAGTCATAGAAAAGCCTTAACATTTGACTCGTGTTAAATATGACACCAGTACATAAATAGTCTCTTTAAATCAGTGTAATGGCTTCAAAAATAATTTAATGGTAGATTAAGTGAATGGGAGAATGCATCAAGTACATCTTACTGTGGGAGATTTCCCCCCACCCCTAGCCCCTAAATGTGAATGTTACTAAACCAAAATCTAAGAAATCCTGCCTTTTTGTACATTTCATTTGATAGTTTGGGTTGTTAACATAAATATCAATCACCTAATACAAACTGAAGCAATGCCGGGAAAGTGTTTTTACTGTTGTTGTGCAATACAATCTCAGTACAAAAAGCACAGAATTAGTATTTTTTTTTTTTTTTTCATAGTCTCAGCAGCAGACTTGAATGTTGCAGAGGTGATGTTTGTGTAGCGTTAGTGTGCTAGCTCCTAGCTGCAGTATTTTCAGTGGCTGTCTGTTAAAACATTTATCTAAAAAAAAAAAGAGCTTTTAAAGTTAATTTGCATTCTGGTTAGCAGTCAGCTTCACAGCGTTTGTCTTATGTGGATGAAAGACTGTAAACAACAGTAGCCAAACCAAAAAGCTCCACCAAGTGCAGATTTCAGCACAGACTTTAGGAAGACAATCTTTTCAGTATATTTAGTAACTCAGACTGTTTAGGGAAGTGCTACAGCCTGTGTCATTCAGGAGGTCAAACCAGATGATCACAATGTTTTTCTCTGACCTTATAATACAAGAATCTATATACAGCATAATCAGTTTTGTTAGCAATTTTAGATGCCTGTCTGTAGACTTGAGAGAGACAATGAAAGATCAGGCTTTTGCTGAAAATTGATTGACAGAAAATGACAAGACAGTCTAAGTAAATGTGAAAACTGAGACTGATCTTCTCTAACAGCTTAGCTCAAGGATGGAGCATAGCTGCTTAAGATCACAGGCAGGCTTGATGTCATCATACCATGTTGAAAGGCTCCTTTTGATTTCAGTGGAATGTGGCTGAAGCTTGTAAGATGTAAACCCAAATAAACACTTAGACATCATGTGATTAGAAGACATAGATAACTAACAAAGTCTATGCTAATGAACTGAGAAAGCTTGTCTACCCAACAGATAAGATTAAAAACTGGTTTCCTGAAAGGTGGCAGAGAATCATAGGATCAGATGCTTATTGCACTATCAAGTAAAATATGCAATATACTTTTGTAGTTTGATTTTTCTACTCTCAGATAATTTCTGCTTCATAGCACGTCTATTTTCAGAGCTTGAAAAGTTTACATAACCTGTCATGACACAGGCAGGGTTTTACAGAGGCATTATATTTTTCTAAAGCTATGCTGGAAGAAAAGACCTACATAAGAAAAATTAAATAGTAAAAGTTTGTGCAGATATATAGCTGACCATAGAAATAATGATATGATAGCAGCAGTAAACTATGTTCTCCAACAGATCTGAAAGCGTAGAGCTTTTTTGTTGTCTGAACTGTTAGAAATAATGAGAAATGGGGAAAAAGGATTGCCAGAGAATTTTGCAGTCTAATTTCTCTGGATTAGTAGCCTGCCCCTGGAAGTTAACAGGTTCATTTAACTTCTGTTGTCTTCACAAACATATCAGCAACTCTAGCAATTATTCACTATTGAATGTGAATAGCAGTATAAACACTTTGGATAGTTATTGCTTCCACTTCCCCTTATTTTCTAAGGAACCAATTGCTTTGTAAAATAAAAGCTCAGCTTCATAAAACCTTAATAAATGTTTGAGATCTGCAGGTAATTAAGTATGTTGCTGATGTAAGACCTAATTGGGCTAATAATTGCCCAAGTTCTATGTCATCAGTGACTTCAGAGTCAGAGACTGAAATCTCAGCAATAAACCTATGGATTTCCTTTTCTAGGAGATCAGTTAATAATTTCAGATGCATAGGAGGTGGATAGATGAACAGTTCTCGAGAGGAGTAAAAGACCTGCTGTGGTTCAAAGTGAACAGAAAGGAAAATGAGAAAGGTTATTCACCCTCACCATCTTGTTTCTGAACAAAACCATGATTAATGACTAGACTAATGACTAAGCCCAAATAATATGGACTTGGTATTGTTCTCTAAAGGTCCATAGAAGACAACAGTGAACTTGGAATCAGGGGTTGGAAAATTAATCATAAAATCTTCGATCATCCATGACCTAATATTAATGAGAAATGTTTTGACTGCAGGCTGTTTTTTTACGTTACTGGGCAATCTTTTTATCCTAAATTATAACCTGTAAGTCCAATGTTGATATACTTCATAAAATATACTTAACCTCTACTATAAATTGGATTTTGAGCTGTAAAGGAATGAACACATTTTAAGAGCTTCGGCTTTGTGAGATTGTTGGTTCAGGTCCAAAATAATATCTTTGAGTGAGAAATCACATTGTTCCTTTTTATATTTTTCTCCTCTCTAGAGATTTCAAAAACACCTTACAAAAGCACAATAAAGACTTTTAAATAAGAAAATTATTTTTATTGTCTTTATTTGAGCAAGTGGTGTGAAAATTGCTCACTTAAGATGTTCTTAAACTGCTGCTTTACCTCTCAGCAAGCTAATGCTTGATATTACTCATTCACTTAGAGGCCTGCAGCTTTTCAGTAAGATTAAAGATTTGCAGTAATATATTTATTTTTACTGTACATCTATGATTATTAAATTTTTTTCCTGATAGTACCTAGAGGGATGGAGTTAAATGAATCTGCTCTTTCAAAATCTGTTGTGATAACACTTCTACTTATTCTTGCCTTTCTTGGAAAAACAGTGTCCTTACTAATGCTTCAGAAATGATTTAGGCTTTTGTGTTAGCTGTCTGTGTTCATGTTTTGCTATCCTGGCACCTAAGTACAGATTTTTATGAAGAACAAAGTGCATACTATCATAGTGTGTCATAAAATAGTTGATGTGACAAACAGTTATACAGTTTCAGGTAAGAAACAAACTAGGAGCCAATGAAATCTTAAATAAAAACCTGCTTATTTCCAGTGTTGCATTATGAAAATGTTTTCCACTTTTAATATACTCCATTTTCTCATTCTGTCTTGCAACTGAAGACCTCAAAACAGTTTACCAAAAGTTAAACCCAGTGCCATTTCTTCACATCAAGCAATTATTAAATCTGTTTGCAGATGAATGGGTAAGTCTAGATGGATAAGCCTAGATTTGAGAAACTTTCTCTAGGCCACACTATAACTCAGAATCA